TTTGCGGTGGGGGGAGGGGAGATTTTGAAACTTGTTTGCGGTGGGGGAGGGGAGATTTTGAAACTTGTTTGCGGTGGGGGGAGGGGAGATTTTGAAACTTGTTTGCGGTGGGGGGAGGGGAGATTTTGAAACTTGTTTGCGGTGGGGGAGGGGAGATTTTGAAACTTGTTTGCGGTGGGTGAGGGGAGATTTTGAAACTTGTTTCAAAATCTCCCCTCCCCCCACCGCATCCCAAAACCAGTCCAGCTCGTCCCTGCCTCCCTAACCTGTTCTTCCTCCCACCTATCCCCTCCTCCCACCTCAAGCCGCACCTCCATCTCCTACCGACCAACCTCATCCCACCCCCTTGACCTGTCCGTCCTCCCTGGACTGACCTATCCCCTTCCTAACTCCCCACCTACACTCACCTTTCCTGGCCCCATCCCCGCCTCTTCGACCTGTTTGTTTCTTCTCCACCTATCCTCTCCTCTATCCCAGATTTATTCACCATATGTGGTACCGATTTTCTCTGAATCACTACTTTTCCAAATTCCCAATTGTGAATTAAAGAACACTTCGAGTGCACCTGCAGCAGATCCAACACCCACAATACTCAGTCTATTTGGGAGACCTCAAGAATTCATCTCTGACAATGAGCAACAGTACCTTTTAGGGATACGTGTGCCAAATGGGTCATAAACCTTACGTCAGCTTCACTACATTATCCCAGATCTGATGGTCTTGCTAATTGCATTGTTTGCACCATTAAAGCAATGATCATGAAACAACATGGTGATGTCAAGCATGATTTTCACATTATTTATGTGTCATAGTATTTTCCCACTAAGAGTGACACCTTTAGATATATGCTCACTGTAACTGGAAGAGATTATTCTTCGAAGACAACCCTGCCTAACTACAACCTGCCCACCAAGGAGTAGAAGACAATACATAACTGTAGGAGTGTACCCCTCCGACCGGAGACAAAAACTCAGGAGGCAGGCAGGATTCAGGCAAGTGGAAGATGTTTATTCAAGCAGAAATCAGTTAAGGCAGGGGGAGGGCCAGAGAATCTTCCCTGAATTGGAAGGGAGATCAATGACACACTCTTATTTTTACAGTGAAAATACAGCATTTTATACACATTCGATTACAATAATCAAATACAGCGTAGTCACTGTCCTTCCGTCTTGAGCCATACACCCAATCCCGTGGGACATCTAATAAATAATGGGCATTCCTACGGACAGCCCCAGGTTCCTGTGATCTTACATGTTTACAAGCAATTGTAATATCTGGGCCTTGGAATCTTTCTCTGCATCTTATTCATTTGCATTCCCGGAAGTTTACTGGCTACATTCCTTCGGAACCCTCTCAGGCTTCTTATCTCTAAGAACAGTGTGAATTCTATTATTCATTGTCCAATATGTGCTTTCTTTTATCAAATTCAGTCATTCCTCTAATATTTCCCACTGTCCTAATTATATATATAAAAGTACAAAAGACACTTTTAACTAATTGCTATAAGGTTAATTTCTGTTATACAGTTAGTTATAAAATGTAAAGTTGTACAGCTACTTCTACTCTTAGCACATTGTAATTAATGGGTTGTGAACAATCTATCTTGCTCAGAGCATAAGATAATGTGTTTCCTAAGGCTAATTAACTTTTCACATCTAGGTTTAAATGCTTTTCCCCTAATGCTTGTATTATACTCTGGTTATATGTTGAAATCTACCTCTGTGATTAAGGAATTTTTAACTAGAGTCTATTTAGTATTGCAGGCAGTTTCAAAGAAGCAACTATTTACGACAAAGTAACTTTAGCTGTTGTCTTTGCAGCCGTTTAGGGAGTTAGTCTTGGCTACTTCATGGGCTGAGACCTGCACCTGGTGTTATTCATTTACTGGCGCAATCATCCTTTCATTAATGAGGCTGGAATGATTGTTCTTAGGCATTCCCTTAACAGAACTGTCTTGGTTAGTTGGTGGTAGGGCTCTTTTGCCGACCTTGGGTAGTCTTGTTTAAAGGTACCGTTGTGTTTCAATTCAATTATTCTAACCCTTGTTGGCCATTTTGTGTCTTTCAAATATGGGCCATTTTGGTGTAAGCAGGTACAGTTCACCCCTGCTATAATTCACTGGAACTGCCTGATATGTGCGTTGGACAGATAGTTGAAGCCCTACATCCTACTCAAAGAATCTGGTTATCCACAGGTGTAGTGTAAGTGTGCACTCTGCCTATTTCCCACAAAGTCACAATACATAATGGTACAACATTGTGGAGAAACAAGCCACCATAGGGAACTATACAGAACTCCCACTGTGCGCTGAATACACAAATAAAGATATGCTTGGAAAATGAAGATGTAGAAGACCAACATGCCAACAACCAACACTGGTAACAATGTGCAAGAGACACACACATGCCGAAAAAACCAAGTGAAGGTTAACAATCACAAGACCCAGAAAGATTGTCAAACACATTATACAGACTCTTAATCTCACACACAGAAACAAAAATTATAAAGCTTAAGTACTTTTGAAACTATGTAATGCACTCAGTGTATGGAATTTTAGCTTGGGCATTGGGGTGAAGGGAATCAGATAGTAAGAACTGCCGCTGCTGAAGTCAGAGATAACACAGTGTGGAGCTGGAGGAACACAGCATTAACTCACTTGTTTTTATGGTATAGAGATCCTGTAATTCTTTTGTTTGCATATGTTCTACGAATAAATACTCAGATTTCTAGATATTTCATGAATACTAAAAAGTGGTCTTTACATATGTGTGCTTTAGAAGGCACCTGTGAAGGGATTCTTTATGCTAAAAATGCTACATAACTGTAACTTGTCTATGATTTAGACCTGCAATTAGTCAAATTCCTCTTGATCTTGATGCATTGCAAGGTTTGCACTTTACATTCGTAATGTCATTACATTGTATAATGACATCACTGTTGTGACATACCCATATCCCAGGACTTGACTATTGGGTAAATCATGGATGAGAGGTTAAGTTCTTTGAGGAGTATGAGAAAGTTTAAATAATTACAGATGGCATCCTTAACTGACCTATGAGACCTGAAAAAACAGGCCAGTGTGAGCGAATTTAATAACTTCAAAATAAACCTTTTATTTGCCTAATCAAACAAAGTAAGCATTTATGATTTGTAATGGAGAAGAATCCAGAAAGAAATGAAAATATCCATCAAGAAATGTGTCCATTAGAAGCTTTCATGTTCTGGAATGATAGCCTGTGAAGCAAATGGAAAATTTCAACAATTCTTCTTCATTCGTTCATGGAATTCACTTGAGAACGTGGTGGTGTGCTACCTTCTTGATTCGCAATGGTCCTTTGGGGGTCTAGGTACACAACTGTTATGTGGGAAGCAAGTTCCAGGATTTTGATCTCGCAATAGTATACAACAAGATAGTTCCCATTCAGGATGGTGTAAAACTTCTGGAGTGTTGTAGGAGTTCTACTCATCCAGGCAAGTATAGTTTATTCCATTGTTCTGAAGCTGTGTGGCAAAGTGAAGCTGGCTTTCCATAATTTGTCAATGTTCATGTAATTAAAGGAAAAACTTGGACAAGTTTCAGAAATTTGGAGTAGGATCAAGCCTGACCGCACAGTGTAGATCTCTGCATACTTCTGGTTCCTGTCAAGGGCTGGATGAGTTCTTTGATGACCCTAAGAACTGGGGAGAACCAACTGTAAAATCTGGTGAGTTGCCTTTTGCAAAATCCTAAATTGATCCTTTTTAACACATCCAGATTGTTTTATTAAAATATTTAGCTGTTCTCCTATTGCAGATTGTTTTTATTTAATGTTTGATTTAAAACAAAGCACTTCTACGCAAAGTGCAGTATATCTGGTTATTTGGTTTTATTTCTCAACTTGTTATAATTGATAGGTGTGTCCTTGTAGTGTCTCTTATTCATGGCATTATAATTGATAACATTGTCAGACATCTTGCCTGTCTAAATCCATCTACTTATTAAACTGTACTTAACTTCCAATCCAACGGCAGAATCATGAGAGCTGATCTCCATGCCTTTTAATGAGACAATAAAAACAGTTCATTTGAATTACTGTTTCTTCATATCTATTAGAACTTTAATAAACAGCTACAACTGTTATTTTTGCCCAAGGCACCTCTTTTTAAGTACCCTTATTTTTGTCCTCCCTGTCTTCTATGTCCACAAGTAGACCTCATCATCTTCATGTCTAAAGCTATTTTCTTTATCATATAAAGCTCAAAGCTGCCTGCAGCTTCAATAACGATTCCCTTTATTGGACAAGTTTTTTCCAACATTTTAGACAAAATATTAGAAAACCTAATAATCTGTCTTTAGATAATAGTCAACTCTAGCCAGCAACCTTTTACTATGTTCTAGTACCATTGTTTCATTTTTAATAATAATGCCAAAGTCAGCACACTTTCCTGGTGGTTCCTAAACTGTAAACATACTACCCTCTTTACTTTACCTCTTGGTGTTGAAGTGAAAAGTTTATCATACAATTTCCTACAATAGCTTAGTTGTCATTCTAGGATCTCAAATTTGGAAACGGTGTACCTCCTTCACTTTTCCTTTCAACAATTTTCTGAATTTTACAGCCTAAGCTAGATCCACTTAATCACAAGCTAATATACTCCATTCTTTAGAGTGTCTGTGGCATTGTGGTATAGTCCCTGTCTCTGGATCAAGAAGCCTGGGTTCAAATCCAGAAGCATGAAACAATATTTCTGAACAGGTATGCCACAAGGATTGCTGCTGGGTCCACTGGTTTTTGTCATTTATATAAATGATTTGGATGTGAACATAGGAAGTATGTTTAGTAAATGTGCAGATGATAACAAAATTGGAGGTGTACTGGACAACGAAGGTTACAAAAACAAAGTTGCTGGAAAAGCTTAGCAGGTCTGGCAGCATCTGTGAAGGAAAAAACAGAGTTAACTGTTTCAGGTCCGGTGCCCCTTCCTCTGAGGACCTGAAATGTTAACTCTGTTTTTTCCTTCACAGATACTGCCAGACTTGCTGAGCTTTTGCAGCAACTTTTTGTTCCTAATTTACAGCATCTGCAGTTCTTTTTTTTTTTAAATTTAATGACGAAGGTTACTTCAGAGTGCAACTGTCCTTGATCAGATGGGCCAAGGAGTGGCAGATAGAGTTTAATTTAGATACATGTGAGATGCTGCATTTTGGAAAGGCAAATCAGGGCAGGACTTATACATTTAAGGGTAAGGTCCTGTGGAGTGTTGGTGAACAAAGACCTTAGAGTGCAGGTTCATAGTTTCTTGAAAGTGGACTCGCAGGTAAATAGGATAGTGAGAAAGGCATTTCGTATGCTTGCCTTTATTGGTCTGTTCATTAAGTAGAGAAGTTGGGAGGTCATTGTTGTGGCTGTACAGGACATTGGTTAGGTCACTTCTTTGGAATACTGCATTCAGTTTTCCCTGCTATAGGAAGGATGTTGTGAAACTTGAAAAAGTTCAGAAAAGACTTACAAGGATGTTGCCAGGGTTGGAGGGTTTGAGCTATAGGGAGAGGCCAAATAGGCTGAGGGATGACCTTATTAGAGGTTTATAAAATCACGAGGGGCATAGATAGGATAAATAGCGGAGGTCTTTTCCCCGTGGTGCAGATGTGCAAAACTAGAGAGCATAGGTTTAAGGTGAGAGGGAAAAGATTTAAAAGGGACCCAAGGAGAAGCTTTCTCATGCAGCGGGTGGTGTGTGTATGGAATGAGCTGCCAGGGGAAGTGGTGGAGGCTGGTACAACTACAACATTTAACAGGCATGTGAATTGTTATACACCTAGGAAGGGTTTAGAGGGATACGGGCCAAATGCTGGCAAAGGGGATTAGATTTATTCAAGATATCTGGTCAGCATGGATAAGTTGGACCAAAGGGTCTGTTTCCATGCTGTACAGCCCTATGACCCCACTCTCTCTCCTATGCCAAATCTGATAGTTTGTCCTTGTATGTATTCATCTTACACCTTGATTCTAATGTAAATAATGTTTTTGAATTTGCTTTTTAGGTGCACCTTGGACAGCAAAACAACTACGAATAAAAAGCAATGAAGATTTACACAAGCTCTGGTATTGTTAAGACTTCAGTTGTATGCCTTAATCTGATATTTAAAATAACTTCCTTTTGTGGAAACTTTTATTTACTGACCAACGGGCCAAATAACATCTTCCTATACTGTAACTGTTCTAGAATACTGCAGTTATCCTGTACGTTTCTAAGAAAAGAAAACCTTCTTGACTCTGAACTTTCACTTTTTGTATTTCATAACATTAACTATTCCTTCTGCAGGTACATTCTTCTCAAAGAAAAGAACATGCTTTTGACTTTAGAACAAGAAGCAAAACGACAACGATTACAAATGCCCAGTCCAGAGCGTTTAAAGAAAGTAAGAAATAAAACCTATTCAGGTCCTAACATTTCTTGCATGATTTATGTTGAGGATGTGAAAAATGTAATACTTTCTAATCAAGAATTAGAGCAGTGGCACAAGTTATTTTAGATGTGGTTCTTTACTGTCCCACAATCTTATTTTGATCAGCTTGAAATAATTACAGTAACTAATAACATTTTCAGTAAGGATCCCAGTGGACTTTTATCATGCTAACAGATGCTAACTAAATACTTGAAATAGAGAAACCAGTCTCTGAATTTTTATTAATAGGTAGAACGGTCTATCGCTAGAATTGACTCAATTGTTCAAGAACGTGAAGATGCTCTAAGGTTGCTGCAGACTGGGCAGGAGAAAGGCCGTCCCGGCGCTTGGAGGAAGGACATCTTTGGGCGAAACTTTTGGTGAGAAAGATTTGTTTATTACAATCTTATAAAAAAGTTGATTCCACATGCTTGCTATTTTTATTCTAGTTTGGAGTTCTTTGTCAGTTTGTGCTAGAAATGAATTATTTTCTGTTTCACTAATGGTTCAATAATGTTTTGTTTCAAGTTATCTATAAAGAAATGGCATTTCTTTCTTTAAACAGTTGAGAAGCAAAATCTCTTTAGAGCTGATGCATGAGCAATTAATATGTAAATATAAAAGTGTTATGGTATAATTGTACACAACTATAAAAATAAGTAGACTTCCTATGGCATTGTTCATAGAATTCTGGAGGGGGGCCAAAACTTTCAACTTTCTGGAAGTACTACCACCAAGTCAAATGCTGAATAGAAGGTTATAATGGGAAGGCAATGTTATTCAGTGAATCAAATATTGGTGTAATATTAAACAATATTATTCAGGTTACTAGTGCTTTAGAAATATTAAAGCAATAGTCAATCTTTGTTGATAATTGAAATAAATTGCAATATTCTACAAAATTAAGTTTGTACAAGGATATTCTGGTTCCAATACCTGAAATTTCAGTTGTTTCTTAACCCTCAAGATCTCAATAGGTTAGATTTGCATTCATCTACAGTTGTGGTTTGTACTCTATAATCTGTCCAAACGCTATTAGACCCAATTTTCCCAAGTGCATTTTATAATGGAGTACTACTTTATTAATTTCAAGTACAAGAAGCTAATGTAAAGAATCAGTTTGCTAAACTTATACTATGAAGTTAATTTCTAAATATGTTAGAGCATTTCATTTAAGGACAGTTATGTTATTACAATGTATAGTGCATTAATTGGCTAGTTATGCATAATGCATTTAATTAATGAAAATTCCCTTTTGTTCAGATCATTTAGGCCTCAGTAGATCTTTAAGTCAACCAGGTCAGATTGACTGAAGGAATCACAGTACTAATCAGAAGGTAGTTCCTTGGTTTGGGGATATTTGGGATCAGGCCAACAGTTTGAATGGAAAGTAGCAATGGGGATTTAAATACCCAGCAACACGTAATGATCAATGTTGGAAGAAAGCCTCTAAAAGCCCTTTAACCAGAGGTAAGAGCAGGGCAGAAGGTCGTGTAGTCTGGATGTTATGTTAAACCAACTAAGACACAAAGTAGTGCAGGCACAAATGGTAGAACTGATGGTGAGGCCTGGAGATAAAAGTCAGAACGGATCAGTCAACCGAATGTGACAGGACAAAATAAAGATAGGTGAAGAATAGACACTGGAGGAGGACAAGATGTGAAATTAAGCAATTTAAAATTAATTTACTTTGGCAGCAGTGGGCATATGTATCACAAACTACCTGATGAAGTTGGGTGATTTGTGACACTAAAGTAGGGTAGACAAAAAGCACTTACAAACTTCTCAAAAAAAAAACACTAATTAAAATTTAAGCTGCAATACAACAAATTCAGCATGCTGGCAAACAAAAACCATTATTCTAGTGAAATCGACAAAAGCTGAAAATACATGTAGACTAAATGCAGTTCTTAAATGAATTCCAGTGTCACAAAAATTCCTGTGAAACCAAATGTAAAAGTTAAATTATTCGGGTTTGCTAGATGCAACTTGGGTTCTCTTCACACAGCACCCTTACCACAAAGGGACTGCCACTCGTACCACAAGCAAGGAGGAGGCAGACCTCAAGAACTGCCTGAACTAAAACAGATTGAAGTGTTTGCATTATTTGGCATATTACAGTTTAGCCATCTAGCCAACTGAGCTACCTACCATGATATACACAACATTGCTTGAGGAATATTTACATAGGATAGTTATTCTAGATTTGAGACAATTAAATATTTCACTATTTCCAAAGCAACTAATAAAAAAAACTTAATAATAAAGGATAAAAGCTATTGCAAGTATAAAGGTAGATACTTCACTGCTAGAATGCCAGGATTTGCATTTGTATTTGGCAGTCGACATGAACTTGCCATGTTGGAGTATGACATGCAAACATGGTGAGAAATGTTATTTCTAGTAAACACATTTAAATACCAGAGTTTGACCAAAAAATGTCTCCTGTCCAAAAATATGAGCAGGAATAGAAGATAACTTTAATGCCTTCATGTTTTTGATTGCTGAAAGAAAAAAATTATTAAATCACTGCTAGCAAGATAGGGAGCACAGTTTGACGTGAGAGGATACAACTTCTCCAAAATTATACTCTGTCACACAAATTTTCCAAATTATTTAAATACACGTGAATTCACTGGCGCAATTCACAGTTCTGTAATCCAATGCACTGCAGTTTATTCAAGGTAGCATTCTGAAAAAGATTGTCTGTTTTCACGATGCTATGACCAAATCATAATTAAGCCTTTTATTTCAGAGTTAACCAGATTTTTCTTTTCTAGGTACAAGTTTAAGGAATGGCCTATTCCTTGGTACCTAAACAAGATATACAGGAGGAAACGATTTTACACACCGCCATTCGTGGATATTTTTGTTAGGTAACAAATCTCAACATTTACTATTCGGCTGAATTTACAGTCATATCATCCGTTAGTTTCTTCAACTTTGTAATTTATGGTATTTCATTATAGCATTGGTTCCCAAGTATTTTCTGTATTGAATGATTATTACAGTATATCAGATTTCTGAAATATTGAAGCATTGTCTTTAATGCACGTGAGGACAAGTCTTAATGGCAGCAAGGGTCACCATTTACATGCTTTTCAGGAAAGGTGATGGCCTAGTGGTGTTATTGCTAGACTATTGATCAAGAGAACCCGGTAATATTCTGGGGACCTGGGTTTGAATCCTCCCATGGCAGACAGTGGAATTAGGAGTCTAAATGATGACTATGAATCCATTGTCAATTGTCAGAAAAATCCATCTGGTTCACTAATGCCCTTCAGGGAAGGAAACTGCCATCCTCACCTGGTCTGGCCTACATATGACTCTAGGCCCACAGCAATGTGATTGACACTTAACTGCCCTCTGGGCAGTTAGGGGTGGATAATAAATGCTGGCCTGGCCAGTGAAGCCCCAGATCCCATGAATGAATTTATTTTAAAAATGCTTTCTTTTGTAGGATTGAAAGTTTGGTTCTTGGTTTATAGTCATGTGTTGCTCCAGCTTCACTTCCTGTAAAATTTGTTTCAGAAAAGCTTGCTGCATTAGCACCTAATGCTGTATTGGTAATATTCAAGTTAAGTTTCACGTAAAGAGAAAAAGGGAAACCAAGAAATCGGTGTGCTTAGTTGGGAATAAGAAACGGTACTTGTGTGGCCTGTGCTGTTTTACACTACCTAAAGTATTTTTCTATAAACTTAAAAGATTTAAAATGTTTAATAAGAACTGACAGTCATTGGAGGTTCAAAATCTGAATCTCCACAAATGCAGACTTAATTAAATCCTGTTAGTTAGCAGTAATTAGGCTGGTTAGAATGCTCCATCCTGGAATAGCTGGTGCAAATCAACAAAGATACTACTTGCCAACCAGCACCTACTGTCACCAGTTGGAAGTGGATGGCGAACAGGTTTAGACTCTGCTCTGATATTTCATACAGCTAACCAGCCCATCATTAATCGACACTTAAGCTTGAGCATAACAGAAGGGAAGTTAGATCCCAGTACTTCCCTCTAAGGTAATCCTTTAAAACCTGCCTCCAACCAAACTTTTCTTCACCTGCCTTAATATTGCCTTGTGCTTGGCATAAAAATCTGTTCTAAACGATCACCTTAGAGGGATGAAAGGGTTAGTGGTGGAGAAATTAAGCTTTGATGCACAAATGTTAGCATTGGAGATGTATGGATAATTTTCGAAGTTGCTGAACTGGAATAGTTTACAGATATGGAAGAACAAGGAATTTGAAAACAGAATTTTTAAGAGGACATTGGGTAAATGGTTAAAACACATCTGGGGCAAGGAAGGACATGGCCAGAGTTTGATGGAATCAAGTGTGGCTGTGCAAGAGCTGAGTGACAATTAACAATGTCAATTTTGTTGTTTTATTTGTCTTAGGCGACGGATTGAGAAGCACCTACGTAAAATCAACAATGCCAGAAAGGCAAAAATGGAGGAAGAGAAAGTACTAAAGGAAAAATTCCAACGTCATTCTGCATCAAGTTAACCTTGCACTGAAAATAAATTTGTAAGAGAGATATAATTGCTTACACAATTCACTTAATTTAAATATGAAACCCCTGTGGAGTATGTTGCAAAGTGCACAGGGAATTGAAAAACTTTTAAAAGCAGTTAGGGGTAATTAAGTTTATCGCAAGTACGTTTATTCTATTCTACTGTACCTCCAGACTTGCCCTTGGCTGACATGTAAACAACTGATACCATTTAAAAGGCACAAGATAAAACTGTTAATCCGTACAGTGTAGAAAACATAACCAGCTACAAAAATATCACTAGTTAACAATATTTGGTGTTACCTGAAAATGGTGTGATTTGTATCTAAATACAAATAGTAAATTGCAAGTTTATAAACATATCTTTTGGGGTCTGGTTGGTTAGTAAAATTAGCTGAACAACTTTTTAAAAAATCTTTATAAAATATACATTATCTAGCCACTATACAAAGAAGCCCAACAAGTTTAGCACGGTTTCTGAGGACCATAGTTGGGACATCAAAAAAAAAAAAACTGGTGTAAAAACTTCACAGGTGATGTATCCATAATATTGTTAATTTTAAGGACATTTCCTTTCAACACATTGCTTTCCTCCTTCTTCATATTCCTGCTTGGAAATCCACATTTGTTGGAACGTACCCTTCAAAACAAAAAAATGTAGCTAACCGTTAGTAGAATAGTCATACACAATTATTTTAGCAACAAAAAATCTTCAGATCCAGAAAGCACACAGGAGTGCTACTTACTTGATTTCTTAGCACTGCAACCTCCAGTTTTTGTTTAGACATGGCAGACTTTAAACAACAGGTTTGTTATGCAAAGCCGACTGAGGATATGGACAAGCCAGTATCAGACAGATAGAGGTTGTAGTCAATGGAGCGAAAATGTAAAGTAGAACGTTGAGGGGTCAGAGTGGAAGAAGAAAAAAAATATTCAAAAAGGAACAGACACACAAACAGTGCCAAAATCCATAATCTTCAAAGGCAGAGTGTGCAGGTAGAGAACTCAATGGAGTTCCAGTTATGCAAGAAAGTGGTTGAGACTTTTTGGAAAAAAAAATTAGTCAAGGGATACAAACATTGCTGGTAAAGCCACCATCCTCCATTGCCATCAAAAATGATGGTAGTAGGAGCAGTAAATTCTCCAACTGGGAAAGCTTTACTATTATACCAGAAATATCAATAAAAATCTTGCATATGATTAGTCACAGAGGACATACTCAAAAACCCTACAAAATGAAATAATTCACACAAAACTAAATCCATAAGCACATAGATAAATAATATTGACTAAGGGCTGTCAAATCTGTGCAGCAGTCAAAATGCACGGCAGAAACAGGCCAATTCACTTCAAAACTATTGCACAAAAACAAAAACAAACTGCATAGAGTCAGCTTAAGAAATGCACCTCTATAGACAGGAGACAAAATCAAGAGCTGTTGCTCCATGCACGGGCAGTTTTGTCCTTTCTTCTAATAGGTTTCTAGTGAGGCAATCAGAAGCAATTGGGAAGGCAAGTGACAGTATTGAGACAGGCTATCTGCTGGGGTTTGGAAGGGAAGAAGTAGTTTAAAAAGAAAATATGTAAAATACTTAAGCAAGACGAAAGCAAGAGCCAACAATTATTACTCACCAAAGAGGCTAGAATAGAGCCACCAATCCAGGAGCTAAATCTACGTTCCACTGTGGTGTTATTGGCCATTAACTTCAAACGCATGCTCTGAAAATAAAAGATTTAGGCATTACTTAGTCTAATTTTTGATCAGCCACAAACAGCGGTGTATTTTAAAAGTACTATTGTTGAACTGATTTCTGAAGTCCAAAGTAGTAATATTCAGTCAGAATTTGAAGTCATTCCCTGCTCAGAACTGTTTTACGTTTTTCTCCACTTTTACACAAAAAAATGCAGCAGGTGAAATAACTTGTGCATTTTCTCAACATGCAGCTGAACAGTGGCAAGGATCTTTGGCAGAGATCTTAAAATGGTTACTAACCCTTTTAATGCAAATGTAGTGTGTGAATTTGATGAGACATTTTTCAACTTCAGTTATCTACAGTTAAATTTTATTTGTACTAATCAAACCTTTTCAAATCACTGCCAAGGTTTCAAAAGTGTATTTTCTATATATCCCTTGCTCCTGAGGTTTTAGTGGGCCACACTACTAGCCTTAAACTAGGTGCTAAACCTCAAAACAGTTAAAAAGTAAAATTTATGTCCCAAATTTTGGGTTAAAAAAAGACAGATTATCTGTACTCACCACTCAGTGAAAAATCAGCCAGAAACTTAGTGATCACATGTGCAAAGTTAAATTTGGAAATTAGTAATTGCTCTTCCAGAAGATACACCAATATCTCACCAAGAAATTTAGCACTGAAAAACTTTAAGGGAATAAGATTGCAATAACTACATAACATATCTTCTAATAAGTACTCCAAAACAAGTTAGGTTTGTCTGAACTATTATCAGTCTCTCTGGCAGTGAAAACTAACTTTGTCAAGTCTGGAATTTCATTCCTTCAGAATTCAACCTATTTTAGATTTTCCTTAAAAAATTAAAAAGCCATCGATTTCCCTTAAACTAATCTCTTATCCCCACTATTTATCTTCTATGACAGACCGACATAGAATTTACTTGCCCAACAGTTCCTGGTTCAGGCTACACACTTCACTAAGGATTTGTCAATCTAATTGAACAAGGCAAGCAAATCTATCAGAACCATATGCATACCAAAGATCCTGTTAAGGCTTTTGCACAGAAATTATTTTCTAATCATAGCATGTTCCATTACAAAACCCTTTAGGAAATCTATGAGCAAAATGTAAGTGTCATAATTTGCTGGCATCTTAGTTCGCTGCTAAGTTCAGATATATTTTTTAAAATATATTACTAGTTTGTATCTCTCAGTCCAAAATGTCCTTTTGCAAGCAAGATACATATTTATTAGATTTAAGTACAAGTTAATTATTCATTACGCAAGAAACTAATATTTTCACTTTGGAGACATTCTTTGAAATGGATACTCACAGGTGGCGTTTTCTGGGAGAGCTCCCTGTTCAAACGGTCTGTGAAGCTCTGTATTAATGTGTTTCCACCTGCTGCAATCACACTGCCATATAAACCCTGAGAAAAACACCACAAACAGTAAATAATAACAGCCAAGTAGTAGGGATAAATCCAACATCAGTTGCTGGTTGGTACAATATTCAATGAACTGTTGTCCAAATTTCATCTATGAAAGACCTGGATCTAATGTTTGATCTATGTCCTCCAGTCCTAGATTTCTTAACCAGTGGAAATAGATGTTCTTTATTTAGCCTGTTTTGTTAAAGACTTCAATAAAATATCCCCTTAATCTTCAAAACTGCAGAAATACTGATCTCTCCAATAAATTAACCCTTGGTATCTAGGGATCATGCTAGTAAGTCCGAGTTACATTCCATGCAGGGCCAATATAATATCCATCACGTGGAATGGTGTCCAGAACTGCTTAGTACACCAGAGTTTATCCAACCATTGCTTTGTATGACCTTCAGCCACACGTATTCTAATCTTTCAGATATAAAAACCAACATTGTACTGGCCTTCCGGGATTATTTTTTTCCCTTGTACATGTCCAAGACACTTTATGATCAATATACCCAGAACACCAAGTCTCTTTGGATCTCTGGCGTTTCTAACTTTTGGCCATTTAATTGAAAGAGTTATTCACTTATCGTTGCTGTAACGTTTTAATGGATTATTCAAGTTGTGTCTGAATTGATCTACAATATATTTAATAGTCTAATCATAATTGATAAATGCAAATAGATTGTATTAAAAAAACAGATTCAAACAGAAAGCATGTCCATCAGCATCCTTTCAAGGGTACAAAAAGAAAAAGACATTTGTTTACACACGAAGTCCTTTCTCCTTTTGAGATGAAAATGAAATGAACTTTGTTTTCAGACAGCCTTTTGCATTTCTGGCACTCAGATTTAGAGGAGACTTTTTTTTAAAAGAAAGAAAACATTAGACAAGCATACAGCTTTGTCACTATGGGTTCAAATACTTACTGGTCTAATATCAATGTCACACATTCCGACGCTTGTCGTCACTACATGACTGACACCCAGCATTGTGTTTCCAGATAAACCCTAAATGGACAGAAATAAATCAATTATAAAAGTGAAGAGGAACAGCTGTTCAGCTGGACAGTATCTCACCGATGCCAATTGTGTAGGGAGCTCTCTCGAGGCACAGTGGTAGTGTCCCTGCCCTTGGACAGATATGTGCAATATTGTCTCTGAACAGGTTGGTTAGAAAAATAGGTTTAAAAAAAAAAACAGCAATGTTCTTTAACATCTTAGAAAAAAAACTAAAAAAGTCATGGTGATTTGGTGTAACCAAAGTTATTCAGTTGTGCATGATGGTACTTCTGGGTATTAAAAGAAAAAGAAAGAAACAATACTGCGAGGACTCTTGTGACACAGTGGTAGCGTCCCTGCATTTGAATCATAAAACCTGGGTTCAAGTCCCACTGCTCCAGGAATGTGTCATAACATCTCTGAACAGGCTAATTACACTTTTTTTTTTTAAATCCATGGTGCAACAGGACAATGGCTATGAAAGTCAGAATGTGACAAGGAGTTTGTAATAACGCACCTGATGAATCAGCTAGCCCTGAAAAGTGGATGGCGCTGGAGTGATGGGCCTGTACCCGGCTGTTGCTTGTGGAATCAGTGTATGTATTGATTGTGGGCATTTGCACACCCATGTTAGTTAATTGAAAAAACCTTTAGTTGCATTTTTGGTGGCACTTCAGCTCCACATTCCTGATCTTTGGGCGGCTGGTTTGGAGGGATGTGGGCAGATTGGAGGACCTCTTTGTGGGGCTGCTCCTGGGCTTGTCAGGCTAGCTATCAACAGATCCAGACAGCAGGCTGTGGAGGGAGTTATAACTGCCAACTATCTGCCTCTCTTCTGCAGTTATGTTTGTGCCTGGGTGTTTTTGGAGAGGGAACACACAGTGTCCATCAGTGCTTATAGAGAGGGGTGGCACTTGCAGGGGATACAGTGCTTTATTTCCCCATCCAACACCATTTTGATTTACTCCCTTCCCATTCTCCCTACACCCCCCTCACTTTGATGGATTGTGTTGCCATTATGGGCTTTTCATGTAAACTTCTAATTGGCTGCATGGCTGATTGCTTTTAACTATTAGCCACCACCAGTTAAAAGAAGTCATGGAGATTTGACGGTGGGAAAATCGTACAGTTTGTGTGATAACACTTCCAGATACAAGAGAATAAAAAAAAAGCTGCTAAGGCTCCTGTAGCAATAGTGCAGTTGAAGGTGTCCCTACCTGAAAAGGCCATTTGAGAGGTATTTAGCAGGAGGGCAATGTGAGCTGTATGTTCCAGATAAGAATTTCAATAAGGCCTTGAAATGTCTTTGGGGATGTAACTTCTCAAAGATTTCAATCCAAGACTCAGTATGCAAAGAGGAGGGTTCACAGTCCCCTGTCTATATCAAAATGTTTAGGTGGATATTGATAATGGACCACTGAACTCAAACTATCACCATTGTGGGCCAACAGCCAGATTGGATACTTAGAACCCATGACCCCACTTTCTTGCTGATAAGCCTGTGGCTTTTGCTATAAAAGAGGCATGCAAAAACTAGTTGTAATATCAAGATTTGGTTAGAAATATAGGTTTGATGGAGAAGAAGTGTAACTAATGAAAAGTAGGTCACATATTTAAAAAGATAAAAATTCATGTCGGAATTGGCAATTGAAGACTCTATCATAACTAACAGGAAAAGCCAGCTCCTAACCCACAATTGATTTTAAAACATTCAATACTAGAATTAATCCAATCTGCTAAATATATTTTAAATTAATTATTACGGTTTTGTCTGACCAAATTAAATCGACTGTGAAACTCTTCACAAGCATTTCTTCGCCTTTCCATTCAGTTCAGTACCTTGACATTGGAAGGATCAAACAAGCCTTCTGGAATTCTCAGTCGTTCAGCACCAAAATCACAGTTATAGCCATTAGGAAATTCATAATGAACACTGGGCATTTGGGCAGCCACTCTGGAGAAAAAGGGAGAGAATACCATACATTCACCACGTAAAAGAAAACCCAAATTACAATAAATGACGTCATGAAGGAATCAACTTAATTGTTCAGCTTTCTGCCACTTACTGTTCATCATATGAAGAATCAGACACCTGGAGCACTGATGCTTGGAAATCCTGAATCACTTCCTGCAAATTTATTGATCCCATAAATAGTTATGCAAAACTGTAGTTTCTATAACTCTTTAGAAACAATTACACATTTACTGTCATGACCAGCCTTGCCTATAAATTTTACTTTTCAATTCTAATGTGGCAGTTGGTTGCCACCCTGCGATCTCCAAGAGGAGTTGCATTATTCTCTTTAATTAAGTCCTTATTGGGATAGCCCTCTAACCTGATGTGGACTGCTCCCATCCCTTTCCCACAACTGCTTCATCCTGCCAATGTGTAACCTGGCCCAAATCCACTTGCAGGCATCACAATCAGATCCCAAACGCCTCAACTTCAGCGTTTGAAGGATGTATTGAAAGGGTTTCCTAAGCCCTTTGGGTGAAATTTGAGAGAGATCACTGCCACTGCATCCAAGGTGGTATCAATAGTGCACTTAAATTTGTAACAGAATCCTCAGATCATTGGTAGGAAATCGAGAATTATCACATTCCTTTCCACTACCAGAATCAAACTCAACCCTCTGCTAGTAAGCCAAGACCTTGATCCATTACTGACGTCTGAGGGAAATCCATTCTTCAGTACATGATGATTCAGAACTCATCTCCATTCCATTAGTCCTATCATTACCTGCATCCCAGTTTTCAAATTCCTACCCTCTTCACTCTTTTATCCAAAGATAAGCTTCCAAAAAATTGCAGAAGCACCGTTTGGATTATCAATCGCAACTTAAATTTTGGCTACTGCTATTCACAACTCTAACAATCTTAACACCAATCTACAATTTTTCTTTGTATTTTGCCATTAACATTTATTTTTGAAATATTATTCATGAAACTAAATGGGTGTTTCATATAAGACATCATGTGGTCCAATTCACCTTGAGCAAACATAACTGGATAACTGCTTATATTTAAGTCAGCTGAATTCAAAACCAATATAACCTAAACCATTTAAGAAAACGTTTCTCATTTGCTACATCCTATGAACACAGTTATTACTCACATTGCACATGTAGTTGTGCCAGGACCTTGTGACTTGAGGTAATTTCTCTTTCTTCTTCCAATTCGGTGGTGATCCCTCACGCACTGATTCCTAAGAGAACAGCAATAGAAAATTTAATACTACTCATTTTTAATTTTCATTGCAGTTTCAATTTTAGATGTATAATAAAAACAAAAGAAAATTTCAAGGCACGAGATGATCACGATTTTTTTGAAAGAAATATTATCATTGCTTATATTTGGAAGAATGTATGCATTCATCACATAACTGGAAACAAGTAGTGATACTCCGATGCTTGTTCAGGAAAAAGCTTTCCCTGGTTTAATACAAGCTTATGACCAAGAATATTTCAGCAGGATTGAGTTTAGTTCTGGTAGAGGAGAGGAGAGGAGAGGAGAGGAGAGGAGAGAGGAATGTGATAATTCAGCATTTCATTTCCTAGCTGCACTGATCTCATCTGATGCAGCAATTTAGAGACTGGAGTTAATTTCAGTAATACAGACCAAGATACTGAGAGATTCAGCCAGGATTCCCACTCTTGATGGTCATTTACTGATCTTTGTTGCAAGTTGTACATTTAGACTATGGACCAGCTATCATTTGTGTTAACATTGTCTTCAGAAAATAAGAACAGGGAGAAAACTGGAAAATCGTGATCTAGAGAGTTAAAAAGTAGCGCACAAATCAGACATGCTACATGAAACATACTTAAATGCACAATTTCACTGCAAAAGATGACTACCTTACTTCTTAATTAATTCAGTTCTGCATACCATATAAAACCAGTTTGGGTCTATGGACAAATAATTTCATTTTGCGTTGTAATGACTCAAAGGCAGGAACGCTCATTTTACACGTACTAAGTCCCAAATTAAAACAAATCACTAAATAATACAGCTAATTTAATTTGATCAAATAATATCTAGCATAGGCATGTTCAATATTCCATGTTGCTGTTATGAGAAGTCAAACAAATATTTCAATTTGCATTGCATAAACAAAATTCTGTCTGCTGTAGTGGAATATCAATTTTGAACCATTGGACAAAAATAGGTTGTTCATTTATAATCAAGTAAAAGGCAAGACCCCTTATGCAAAATCTGTAACCAATCTTTCTGAATTGCTAGATAACAAAAGTAGTAAGATTAGGCAGATAAAAAGCAGAATTAGGTTCTGTATGTCATTTATATTAGGATATTTAAAGTGCTTTGGCAACAACGATTAAAAAGGGAATTTATGCTCCAGCCTGCAAAATAAGTATATTTATTCTCTGCCCCAAGAGAAGTCCATTATAAAGCTTTAAAAATTACTAAGAGTTTTCAATTTATTCTAGACATGGATAACTTGAGTTTATATTACTCAGTAACTTGGCCATAAAACAGCAAAGAAAGCAGTCTCTTGGCAGGTGATTATAGGAAAACTATAAAGACTTGCAGTTGTAGACCAGTCTGCCCCTTGAGACTGCTTGTTCATTCATCTAGAATAAAGCTGACCATCCACCTCAATACGTTCCCTCACTTTCCCTATATTCCTCAATGTCGTGACTTGAAAGAATATGGGAATAGAACAGAAAAATGGTAGCGAAGTAGATGATCAATTATGGGCTCGCTGAGTAATGGAGAACAATTAATAAATAAAAGTCTTCAGTTAATTCAGACTGTACAAGAGAAAATTAAGAATAATTTCTCTGTTGCAAAGCTTTGATATCTAACCTTCAAGAAAAAAACCCCATCAGTTTTTAATACAACTAACAGAGGCAGTTTCAGCCACAGGAAAAGAACACAACAGGTAATACCATCATTTAATCAAGGAAAGGGCTTTAGACCAGAAGGAATGACATAATAATTAAGGTGGTATTGCGGAAAATGGATTTTAGGGTGAATAACTGAAGAGGTGCCTCACTGGGCACGAGGAAACCCAAAATTACTTGCCCTACTCACTGCCCAACAGCAGCCCACGTGCTGCAAGCTGTCAGCCTTCCTGCCTCCCTTAGCTACATAGCAGAGGCAAAAAGAGGAGAACAAGTTGCCTTTAATCATTCAATCAAGAGTCTCAACAAGGCCAAAAGTGGGCAGGCCGCAAGGAACCATATCAATCCATCATAATATAGGAGACACAGATCGGTGAGAAGGGGGCAGGCAAGCCATCCATTAAAACTGAGTTTCTTGCTGTCAGATATGCCGTAAAATTCAAACTTACTTTCCCAGCGCCCCCCCTCCGTCAATGCCTTCCTAGCAATGTTTCACTTTTATCAAATGTATTTTAAAAAGCCAATACAGACAATTATGTGTCTAAGTGGGAAATCAGAAGCTGTTCATCCAGCTTGCACTGAGCATTGCCAGAACCCTGCAACAGGCAGTATGTTTCCAACATGTAGAGAAATATACAAATCCTCTACATGTCCACTCCCCAGGAGTCCTATTCAGAAACAAGGTCCAGTCCTACTCAGGTCCCCTGCTGCAACACTTTCATCAGTACATTGATGACTTCAACAGTGTAAGCTTCCTACGCTCGCCCAGATTGGAAAACTTCATCAGTTTTACTTCCAATTTCCACTTTGCTCTCACCTTCATGTTGTCCATCTCACCACCAACTCAATTTCTGGGCACAGGTTGTCCATTAATATCCACTACAAGCCTACTGACTTCCAAAACTGCCTTGACTTTCTCACGCCCTGCTTCCTATAAAAGGAGTCCATTCCATTTTCCCCAATTTCTCGGTCTCTGTCACCTCTATTCCGATGATGCTTATCTTCCCCACAATGCCTTGGGCACATTTCTTGTCCTCAACCAAGGCCCCCCCCATCATGGTTGACAGTTCCCTCAGCAGCGTCAAAACCATTTCCCAGACTTCTGTTCTCATTCGCAGAATAGCAGGCTTCCCCTTGTCCTCACCAATCTCTACACTCAAGATCATTATCCACCATTTCCACTACCTCCAACAGGATACGACCCACCAAGCACATCTTCCCCTCCCTCCAGGCGTCAGCATTTCACATGGACCATTCCTTCCATGAACCAAGCAATTGGTTCGAATGACATTTTAAAATTTTGTTAATCACTCACTGACAAATCACATATGTTTAGTGTGAATAAGACAACCTGCATCTTGGGAAAAGCATTAAACTCAGATGCACGTATTGGTCGTAAAAAGCAGCAAGATCTTCACTAAGTAAAGGATATCGTATATTTATGCTAAAATGTAATTTGAAAAGAGCTTACACTTTCACAAAATGAAAAGTAAAATACATATTTTCAATTTATTTTCATCTGGTGCTCCAAATATACAAAGGAATTTTTTTTTTTTTAAATTTATGCATTCCAACTACAAGCTCCACTGGTTATAAACAATTTTTTTTTTTTTTAATAAAAAAAGCATCTTTTGGTTTTCCTTACCTTGGACGCGATCATGTAAGGTGGGATTATTTCCACATTCAATTCTTGAAATAGTTCCCTGCACTGCATGGAGATGAAGTCTCCTGCTAGTGGTGACTTAACAATGCCTGAATGTCAGAGGATAAAATACTTTGATTACATATAAAGAAAGTCAACATTTGTTTTCCGAACAATAGCATGCACATAAAAAAAAACTTCATGCATGCATTTAAAAACAATATATGCTTTAAGGTTTCAGATAAAAGCAGCAAGGGAAACAAAACCAAAAACTGAGCAGATAAAATTGTATAAGGAATGAGTATTCTGATCTGATGGCTCAGGAGAGAACACGCAATAGAACATGTGGGAGCAAAAGAGAATACAACACAGAAGAGCATTTTAAAAGCTATTTTTAAGTCTGCTTCTTGTTTTAAAGTATTTTGCAATAAACCAATTAACAACCATTCAGCTGCATTTCAATATCAGGGTATACATTTTTTCTTACTTTGTTGAAGAACATATCCATCATGTACCGGAATAGCTGTGGTGTGCGTGGCTCCACTATCTAACACTAAACCTGTAGAGCGGCCATTTGCAAATCTGACACAAAAAGTGAAGGGAAACGACATAACTGATGTAATCAAGTAATCCTATATTGCAAACTTCAACTAGCTTGTATTTTCGTTAAACATCTAAAAAGTATTTTCAACAAAAAAAAAGTACCAAGTAGGCATTCTCATGCTTCAGTGCACCCCATGGTGTGATACTGAAACATTTAAATCCAGTCTAGCTCCATATTTGATCACTGATCTGGTAAAAACCAACTAATCTCAACAAAAACAATTGCCACGTTCCACAATTGGTTTTGGTCTCTTGACATTAATTTGAGGTGGGAGGAGTACAAGGAATGTTCACCATTGATCAGGCTGAACTTCAATATGCCATTCTTAAAAAAAACAAGCAATTTGATTGATGTTCAACGGAATACAGGCATTTCAAAGAGACACCAGGTGTCAGTCACTTTTGCAAAATAGTACTCCAACATAAGATATTTGAGGACAACACCATTTTGAATATAAAGTAAACGCTACTAATTCCAAGATAACACACCAACTTCCTACAGATCCTTCCATTTGAAAGGATGTTAAGGAGGGAACAAAATCTGTTCATCTATAAAACAGCTTATTATCTACAGTTAGCCCTCATTATTCATTGATTTTCTGCCCACAGATCCATGTACTTACAACATTGGCCCCAGGCACCTTCTTTATCTTCCCTTTTGTCTTTGGTAAATGGAATATGGTATCAAGGTCCTTCATGGCACAAAGGATAAGTATGGAGGAGTGATATCCATGTTTTTATTATCTGTGGGAAATCGGTGCCTCTATCCTAGTTATCTATGAGGAATAGTTTTGTTTTAAAAAGAATCATACAAGCATTTTCATTATCCTGGGTAGTCATCATTTTAAGGTTTAATTGAGAGATTTGCTTTCTTCAGGACTGTAAGACTGTACAGGTTTTGCTTCAAGATTAATTTACTTGCTCCCCTAACAGGTCTAGCAAAAAAAAAAGCATCA